GGGGCGGGGGGGATTCCCCCCCCCCCCCCAAAAAAAAACCTTTTGCTCCCTTCACCTGGTCAGTGGATCAAAGGACACAGGACTCAGATGTCACCTGACCTGGTTTTCTACCCTCCACCTTCATGCCCTGTCTGTCAGTATTGGCCTGTAGTGGCCTCCACTCAGTGTGCAATAGGCTGGCAAAGGATTTACCCTACCTGTTTGCTGTCACAGAATCCCCCAGCCCTTGGTATCTCCTGACTCCAATGGAATGGTGAGTCTCTGCCCACGGGGGAAGCCATCTGACAAGGGTCCTGGGGCATACGGGGCAATCCAATGAGCTGACAGCAAGGGCTTCCTGCATACAGCTGGGAGACCCCTTGGGCCACTTGGTGCAGCGTGGGACAATCCAGCAAAGTGAGCCTGCTGCCCAACCAATGACAGTATCCTGGAATTGCCAGCAGCTGGCCAACTTCAGTCCTGAGCACCCTTTACCCTCCCATGTCTGCTTGAAAGACAGCCACCTCCTCCCATGGACTAGTATCAAGTGGGAGATGACAAGGAGACATTGCCTGGCTGCCAGTTTTTCCTGTGGGCAGCCCCCATCCCAACATTGGCATTTGAATTTGCCACAAGAATGTATTTGGAAATTCGCTGCTCTCGGACCTTCCACCTAAGGGCTGTCTCCCTGGTTCGCTCCCCCTTGTTTCCCGGTGAAATGGCAGAACCCTCCTGATCACGACGGGGGACATTTACAATGGATCCACCCAAGCGATCTGACTGTGGAGGGGGCAGGCAGAACCAAAGTCTCCTCTGGCCCATGGTAGAGAAGGCCACTGACTGAAGGACACGTCCCTTGGCATGCATGGCAGGAGGCTTTTTATATCCACCCTGTGGGCCTTTTCTCTGGCTGGACAGATACTGTCGGCTCACCACCCTGCTCAGTTCCTGCAACGTTTGCCTTATCTCTGTGTATTTTTTGTTTGAAGAAAAGGGAAATCAGCCCCGCTGACATGTGGGGGCAGTATTAGTGTGGCTTGCAGCTGCCAGATCAGGCCGGACATTTCTTTGTCTATCTAGCAATAACAAACTGAATGCGGTTGCTTGCTGCACGGCCTCACTCCTGGCTGGGGTGGCCCTTGTTTTCCCTCTGCATCTAGCTGTGCCAATGTGCATCCATGGATCCACCCTGCAGCAGCTCTGTGCCCTCCCCCCCACCCCCCATGGACCTTGGTGGGAGGGGGGGAAAGGGCTTGTTCTCAAGCCACCTGGTGGTGGGGAAAGGACCCTGTTTTTTGTGTGTCTTGCCTGTGTGGAATTAAAGTTTGTAGCTATTTCCTGTCCTCTCCCCCCCCTCCGAGAACTGATCTTTGTCTTGCCCCATGGGGGGAGCAGGCTCACTGACACCCCCCCTTTATTGGCAGATGCCAGAGCTGGTTTGGCAGGGTGCAGAAAAGATGT